CTTGGATTACTTGTAGCATTATGGTTAGGCTGATTAATTTTATCGTCTATTTAAATTATTTAATTTACCAACACATTTTATATTTTTATAAATCGATCACGTGCTTATAGGTGCACCACGGTGCAGGTGCATCAAATTATAAAGCCCTAAATTCTATGCTTCAAATTGAATACCCACACCAAATCTTGATGCGTTCTGATAAAAACGATTAGCCATCAACCAAATATATAAACATTTAAATGATCAGTAAAATGATTTTATATATAGAGAAATAACAAATGAATAACTGTACCTTCATATGTTCGATATCACCAGTGATCAGAAAACTGAGTGTTGGTGTTATTTTTTGTTCTATTACAACGCATACGCGACCTGAAGTATCCACCTAAAAGCATATCGATCATAAATAATTACATGATCATTTGTAAATTAGTGGTTTGTAAATATTATAAACATCTTACCTGGCCTCTAAGCGTTGACGTCCGAAAATCAAATTTACCACCCTTGAAAACAATTCAACAATTAGCATCGGCTTGGTTGGCTGCTGGACAAAGCGAGACTAACACCATATCAGCTACATACTACTGTGCATAAAGCATCTCTTCGTTCTCTTCCTACAAGAATTTGAAGTTCTGTCCCAAACTCCACTTTTTCGTTAATCTTTTGGAAGTACGATGCTTGTATGGTGCCAATTTCTTGCCATTGTACTGTTGCGATATAATTCTTTCCACTATATTTTGCGACGAAGGACTTGAAACATTCTTCACTGTCTGGCGTAGGTTTCTGATATACAGTTTCAACACCCAAGGCAAGCTTCTGTGTTACAGATTGGATATAACTTAAAATATAGATACCAGTATTTTCAACCGGTGATGGATTAATGGTTTTATAATTAATGGAATAATCCGACCCCTGGTAGTCTTGTTCCAATTGAAGCATTGAATGCCCTGGTACTGATGTTATCTTTGATAATAATATTTTACCAAATTCAAGAAATTTTAAATGATTGATAAATTATATCTTGAAAAAAAAAGGATCTATTCATACATGAGCTTGAATTTTGGTCACATTCTTTGCATTCCATGCATAATTCATACGCGCCGATAAAGTTCCATCTGTGTCAATAGTGCCATGAAGGAAGGACTATTGATGTATTGTTGAATAAAAAACTTTTTAGCCGGACGAAATGACTCGTAATTTATCGAAATGAAAAAAAAAATATATATATGCTTACTTTTGTGCCAATGTAAGCAGCTCCAAAGTTATACATCGGTGGTGTTAAAGCTGAACCCATGGTGAAGGAATGCGTGACTTGTAAATTTTGTGATAAAACTCTGGTGAGATCGGCTCTCCCTCCATCGAATAGTTGGTTTGTAAGGAATGTTGCTGCAATGGGAAAATAAAACGAACAGCTATTTCTAAGAATTCTTGCTTAGTAACACGCGTATCCACTTTGAATTATCTGCATATGTTGCCGGAGTCCAGTAGTTTTATTTAAATGCCCATCAACTGATTTTTTCAACATTTATATTTGTGGTTTGTTCGTACCTTTGACCTCACGGTGTAGACCTTCAAAAGTACCTGGATTGGGTAAATTAAGCTTCTCTCTGTATTCCGCTATTCCATTAAGAAGAGAACTTAAACTCCATGACGTGGAAGGAGTTGTCTTTGTTAATTTTTTTTCACCCAAACCGGCCATTATTTTGTACTTTGAA